ATTTACCATAATTGGCAACTAATCTCAAACTGTCAGGTGTTTAATTTTCTTTAATATTATATATACATGCTAAATATTGCTACAACAAAAAAATCTTTTGTGCATAACATTTAAAAATCGGTTTTGATTCTCTGAGATATATATATATATGTATATATGCATATATATATGTATATATATATATATATATACAGTGGGTGGGATTAACAAGTCAGATGATATTACTGTTTTGAGGCCTCATGATGTGTGAAGCATCCTTCACAAAGTGTGAACACTGTTCCTGATGCTGCCCGATGCACAGAATGCTCACATCCCTGCCAAGCCTGTTTTATATGCAATCATTTTTTCTTGTTTTAAACATTCTGATTTGTATTTACTTAGGGAGGCTATTTTTTGATGTTTTTTCCATCTCCTTTTGTATGAATCATATATTTATATCCTTTGCTGGTTATGCATTCCAGACAAGGCAAGGCTTTTTGTTGAAAAAAAGCTATTAACCTCTTTCCTACGTATTATTTATGTTTCTCTAATTTCAAGTTGACTGTTAGTTTTTGTTAGATTTTATTATATGGAGGTTTGAAGTTTTATATGGCTATATCTGTTTTGACTATTGTAAACTTATTGTTTCAGCTGTTAGAAAATATTGGTTGTTGGGATAAATGTTTTATGACCAGTTGCACTATTTTTGAAAAATAATGAACACTTTAGTCCATCTTGAGCTTTTGTACTAAAGAGTGGAGCAGGTTTTCTCTTCCTTGAAACTTTCCATTTTAGCCACATGCTTCATAGGTCATAGGTATCTTAGCCAATAAAAGGTCACTCTCATCTTGGGGTGGCATGCATTCCTTTATGCTCATTTTGATTTTGATTTAAGAGCTTCAGATTTTAAAAATATTGGCAAATAAAAAACTTGTGAGGACAAACATCACATAAAACAACAAAAAAATTTACTTGCAGGTCAGATAAACCCTATGAGTTTTCAGACTGTAGCCTTTGATGTACACAGCTGTCTTGCTGCTGGTGTCTCTTCAATGTTGTGGTTTTTCATTGTGAACCAGCTAATGCCTTTAACGCTGACACATGATTTGCTGCTATGCGCACAGTCACCAGCCTTTGGGATAGCTACAGTAGCCAATATGAAAGGAGAGGCGTCCAGTCTGATTCTCAGTCTAGTGGCCTATTACGGTGCCACCTTGTTTTAAAAAACACCCAAGCCATTCCCTTTTCAAGGCATGCAAAACAGATAAAACACAGTAGCCAGATCAATGACTTCCTATATGCTAACAAAGAGATTCAATAGTACAAGTGAAGAATAGAATTTGTAACTAAACAAAAAATATTTTCTGAGAGGTTTTTCCCTGAGAATGCCTCTAAAGCATGATAGACTTTGAGGATAAACCAACAGAGTTAAGACTGTATTTTCTCCTATTTCAAAAAAAAAAAAAAAGAAGTGTCTTGTGGTTTGGGATTGCAACATATGGTAGAGAGCAGATACAATCCATTAATATTGGATTTATAACAACATATTGTTACTAATCTGTATAGCCTGGAAGTATATTGGTTGCTATTATCAGTTTATTTTTTATTTTTATTTTTTTTAAAGATTTTATTTATTTATTCATGAGAGACACAGAGAGAGAGAGAGGCAGAGACACAGGCAGAGGGAGAAGCAAGCTCCACACTGCAGTGCATGGGTGCACACTCTCAAATGAATGCATAAATCTTAAAAATATAAATAAATAAATAAATAAATAAATAAATAAATAAATAAATAAATAAATAAATAAAAAAGCCTAGTTCAAGTTCTTGCTTTGCCACTTACCAACTGGGAGATCTTGGAGGAGATTCTAGATCTCTCTACAGCTTCATGCATTAAACCGAATGATGGCACCTACTTCACAGTGTTGTTATGATTAAATGATATAACAAATTCAACAGTATCTGGAACAGTGGTTCAATAAATGTTAACTACCATTATCACTCAAGGAGTTGTACAGAACTATATTTGTTGGCAACCAGCAACTAACAGAAAAATCAAAGCATTCTAACTTGGAAGTAAATGTGATCTTTCTCCCCAAATATCCGTACAGTCAGATCTTTCCAGTTGCTAAAAGTAGAAACAGTTCTCAGTTCAAGGTCATTACCATAAAGCTCTGGGTAACTACATTAAGTAGACTGATGGAGCAATTAGCTTGTTAATTCCAGCCATTCCAGGAGCTGAAATATTTTTCCTCCTCTTGTTAAATTTAAACATGTAATTCAACATGCTTCAAACCCTTGGTCGTAATTTTTAAATTTCCATATTTTAATGTGTACACTGCAGAGTATATAAAAGAAAAGTCTCCGAGAGGCCTTGTCAGCTAGCACTACACATGCGGACTTTCCTCTTGCATAGTTTCCTCCACAAAGTCAAATAGGTTGGGCTAGAATGAGAGTCTTCTAAACTTTCTCTGGTCAAGAAGTCTCTCGTTACCTCTGCACATGAGGGGGTCGGGAGGGCTATGACATTGTTTCTTTTCTGGATTAGGATTATACAAACATCCAGCTAATTTTACACTGCTATAGCTAAGTACTAAGAAAGAGTTCAAGACGAAGAATTCTTTCCCTTATGTATCTTGATCTAATAGAAGTGGAGTAAAGGGGGGAAGAGAAGGAAATTACAATGAACTCATTGTGCTCTAGGCACTTTACTTTTTATATTATTATTATTATTATTATTATTATTATTATTATTATTATTTTAGTAGGCTCTACACCCAACATGGGGCACAAACTCACAACCCTGAGATCAAGAGTTGCATGCTCTACTGACTAAGCCATCCAGGCACCCCTTACATGTTTTATATTTTTGAATCTTCAAAATAACCATATAGTGGATCCTCGTTTTCATTAGGAGAACTGACCCTGAGAGGTTAAGTAACTTGCTTATGCTCACAGAGTTAATAAAGGACCGTCATAAAAACCCAGTTGTAAGCAACTCCAAACCCAAGTGTGTCTGAATTGATGCTATCCTGCAATGAAGGTATCACACAGGGTTGGGGCCATTTCTTGAGTATTAATACATTTTCTAGGACTGCACAGGAATTAAAGGACAGAGACTCCTCTATTTTTTGTGGTTCCTAAATAATCTAGAAAATAAAAAGTATGGCAGGGAGCCTTGGTAGATGGGTGCCCTGACAGTAATTAAATTTGTGGACTTATTTTTCCTACTTTTGTTTTTTTCAAGACCAGCTACTAGCTTCTTCAAAATATAAGGATAATAGTATCTTTCAAACAGATATTCCTCATCCTGAGTAAAATCACCTGAGTTTTGTCCTGTGTAGGGAGAGAATGTTTCATTGTACTGGTGTTTTGAGAGCCTTAAGCCCTTCCATGGGGGAGTGGTCCACTGTAAGGAAGAGGATTGGTGTGAAGTGGCAAATGCTGGGACCAAGGACACCTTGTTTTCTGAGAACTGACAGTTAAGTGGGACCTCAGAGATCTGGTAAGATCTGCAGTACAGGCGGTGATATACTTACTCATACTGGTTCTCCAAACAAAATGAAAATTTTTTGCTCCTTCCCGTGATGTGCTAGTTCCACGGTGGCCAATTTCAATCCATCAACGTGATGACGTCACTAACACAGAGCTAGGAAGAGATGCACACACGTTGCCTTTGCCCAGTGTAAATAGGCTCCAGTACACACCTTGGCTGCAGGTGTATTAGGGTATGAGGAAATATGGGCTGAGTGTTCCAAGAGAAAAGCTTCCTGGGGTGAAAGAGCTCTCAGCTTCCCTGCCAGGCCCGGGGTCTGATTTCTAAAACTAAGTTTAGCTAGTACAGACGGCACCCCCGCTTCTGCAGAGACAGGTCTGCCCGTATCTGCATCTTTTGATTGTGTTTGCCTCTGTCCTGTGGGAAGAATGACTCTGAATCTGTCCCTTTCCCTCTAACTGGGGTGGTGGTGGTGGGGGGCCTGAGTTTTGGAGGTAAGGGCTTTCTGGGAAGGCCCCCACCCTGTTTGGCTGGAAGCAGTCTTAAGTGAACTTCGTATCGGGATGGGTAGCCCACCCTGAAAGACTGCCACCGAGGCTGATAGTTGGGCTGGGCACTTAATCCAGGTTCAGTATTTCTTATAAGAGTCCTGAGACCAGTTTCTGGTCAGGAGCTGAAACGATGGGACAGGAGGAACCCTCCAGACAGGCTCAGGGATTTCTGCACGTAGGGTGGGCAGCGGGCTGCAGCCCAGGAAAGGGAAAGACGGGCTTTCGCTGCCCAGAGAGAGCTGATCAAAGAGGTGTTCGGCCAAGAGAAATATATCTGCTCCTGTTGCCACCACAGGAAGTTAACAATCCGTCGTGAGAACCTGGCTGCAAGTAAGTCAAAACTATCCACCCAACACCTGATTTAAATTGTGCAATTTTCTCCCATATACAACACCACGAGAGGTAAAGGCCAAGATGTGTATATTTTCTCATTTTGGGATTTTTAAAGTTCTTTTTGACTCTTTATAGTTTGGTTTCTGCGTCAAAACCAAGAAAAAGGGCAGCCTGGGCGGCTCAGCGGTTAAGTGCCGCCTTCAGCCCAGGGCCTGATCCTGGAGACCCGGGATCGAGTCCCACGTCGGGCTCCCTGCATGGAGCCTGCTTCTCCCTCTGCCTGTGTCCCTGCCTCTCTCTCTTTCTCTGTGTCTCTTATTAATAAATAAATACAATCTTAAAAAAAAACCCACAACAAAACAAAACCAAGAAAAAGACGTTTAGAAAAACCATTTGGTTTTCTTTCCCCACCACGCTCCTTCCTCTTGGTCTCCCCCAGTTAGAGCGTTACCCTGAATCGCTGAGAGAAAAAGAATGAATGACACCGAGTTGGTCACGAGGTTCGTGTTAGAAAAACGTGGCTTGACAAAGAGACGCACTTCCAAGTAAGTCAGAGAGAGGGCTGCTGGGCTGCCTGGAGCCCATCTCAAAAGGGACAGAAAGGGAAGTAAGGGTTGGTGGGTGTGCTCTTAAGGAAAAGCTCACACAATTACCACCAGCTTCTTGTGCACCTCCAGGCCTCCGACCACAGCACTGAACTCCTCGAAGGAGATCTTCCCGTCCCCGTCTCTATCCAGGATGATGATGGTCTTGTCCACCAGCTGCTGTAACTGCCAGTCTTTCAGGTTGTCCCCGACCATCATCTTCAGCACCTGGAAGAGCTCCCCGTTGGAGATGTAGCCGTCCTTATCCATGTCGTAGATGCTGAAGGCAAACCTCAGCTTCTGCTCCTCGTCCCCCCTGACGCTGAACTGGGAGGCCCCCAGGATGAACTCCCTGAAGTCCACCTCTCCGTCGCCGTCCGTGTCGAAGACGTCGACCACTCGCTGCACCAGCGGGTTCTGCTGCAGCTCGGGCAGCGACAGGAACTCGTCCACGCTCAGGGCGCCCGAGCAGTCCAGGTCCAGCTTCTTGAACCGCTTGCCCAGCCTCTTAATTTCGTCCTGGCTGAAGTGGGAGCACATCTCCTCGGGGTAACTGGCTTCGTTCCCCATTGTGCACGCGGGCACCCCTCGCTGGGGCGCTGGGGGCGCGGGGGGCGGACGGTTGCGGGGCGCGGGCAGCCTTGGGGGGCTCGCGGGACCACCACGACCAGACGGAGCCCCCAGCCCCAGCGAGCGGGGGTGGGGAGCCAGGCGGGGAGCAGGGGGGAGCTGAGGTGCGGGATGCGCCCGGGAACCCAGAGGCCCACAGGCTGCCCCTGCGCCCTCCTTCCTTCTCTCCTGGCCCTCCTCGATTTTCTCTCTAAATTTTTGAAAATTTTATTTATTTATTTATGATAGTCACAGAGAGAGAGAGAGAGAGAGGCAGAGACACAGGCAGAGGGAGAAGAAGGCTCCATGCAGGGAGCCCGACGTGGGACTCGATCCCGGGTCTCCAAGATCACGCCCTGGGCCAAAGGCAGGCGCCAAACCGCTGCGCTCGATCCCAGGGATCCCTCGATTTTCTCTCTAGTTCCCTTGCTAGGATTTTACCTTCTCACCTCCTCACATTTCCTTAGCAAGTCACCCCCAAAAGGGCAGTCCCCCCCCTCCGCCCCCACAGCACCTGTCCTGCAGTACATACGCTTAATAAACCTGCAAGGCATTAGGGAGGGAAGCTCAGGCTTCGGCCCTTCCTGCTTATTATGAAGGCCTAGAGGCGGGACCAAGTGAGGTGGCACATCACAGGGTTGGTCTTACACCTATTTTTCCTAAATTCTCTGGGAGGGGAAGCCAGCCTTGATCTCCTTCCCGTTGAGGTCATTGACTCTTGTCAAGGTATGGGGTTCAGGGCCTTTCTAAGAGACCACTCAGAGGTCACACAGGATTTCTCACATGATCACCTACAGGCGGTGACATATTCCCGAGGAATACACGCAACCTGGATTCAGGGCATTTTTCAAGAACACACGGTTCCCCAGAATATTAGCCTTGGTTGCCCTATTGTTACTTGGAATTCATCATCTTACAACTGGTCTTCCTCGCTGTTGAACTGGTGCCTGATGGCTGTCCTGCAGACCACTCTGGGGATGGCTGTGATGAGCCCAGAGAAACCTTTGGCTTGTTCTGAGAGTGCCAGTGGCCCTTCTGCGGTGTCACTCTTTCCTCTTTGCTTAAACTGGATTTGTCCTTTTTGTTAAATGGGAATCTGATGCACTACTCCCCCTTCCCCATATTCTTTCTTCCTTTGGAAGCACATCAGTTACTCCAAATGCATAAGAAATAAATCGGATTCAAGAGCAATGCTGTTCAAAGGGACTAAGGGGGAACCCCAGACCACTAAATCAAACCCAACGGGACAAACACTCACTTAAAAAATGCTAACACGGGATCCCTGGGTGGCGCAGCGGTTTGGCGCCTGCCTTTGGCCCAGGGCGCGATCCTGGAGACCCGGATCGAATCCCACGTCGGGCTCCCGGTGCATGGAGCCTGCTTCTCCCTCTGCCTGTGTCTCTGCCTCTCTCTCTCTCATTCTATGTGACTATCATAAATAAATAAAAAATTAAAAAAAAAATTAAAAAAAAAAATGCTAACACCGGGATCCCTGGGTGGCGCAGCGGTTTGGCGCCTGCCTTTGGCCCAGGGCGCGATTCTGGAGACCCGGGATCGAATCCCATGTCGGGCTCCCGGTGCATGGAGCCTGCTTCTCCCTCTGCCTGTGTCTCTGCCTCTCTCTCTCTCTCTCTGTGACTATCATAAATAAATAAAAATAAAAATAAATAAAAAAAAATGCTAACACCTTCTTTGTGTTTTAAGTTCAGCCAAAATATCACTCTCATGGCGATTGTGCTGAAACATGATTCTATCCCACAACAAAGCTATGGGGTATCTTCCCCAAGAGCTAGACAATTTAAAGGGAAAGGCAAGCTTCGTAGACTACAACAAACCACTGAATTATTATCCCAAGTGACTGAATGAGCTAGATCTGAAAGAAGCATGATAGAGTGGAAAAAATTTAAAAGAGAATCACCTAGCATCAGGTCTGAACGGCCCACTTAGTAGCGCTAAGGCCTCAAACAACTTGCTTAACAGCAGTTTTTCCCATCTGTAAAATGGGGCTAATAATACATGTTTACAGCTGTAGGAGGATTAAAGTTGACCTTAGCTGATATGATAAACCTTAATCATTTTTAATATTACTACTATTTTCAGTACTATTTACCCTGCTGGTGAAGATGAAGTCTTAAAGAATGATCAGTTGGCAGCCTGGGTCCCTACGTGTCTGTTATTTACTGAGCATTCCTCGTGTGCCATTTACACGGTGCCACCTACTGCCCTAAGCATTTTCTCAGCATTGACTTTGGCTCCCCCAGTTCAGCATACTCCTTGAGGATTGACTGCAAACCTTCCATCACAGGCTTGAGGAAGCCAGTGACGACCTCACGGGCCCATCAGGCATGCTTCTGGAGTCTTCACTGACTTACCCTTGATGGTCATCACGTGGAAAGAGATATTAGCGTGGAAACTTTTAGTAAGTGAATTCCTCTATTCTTCTATGTAGTGAGGGGTAGTGGAAAGAGCATAAGAATTCAGTAGACCAGGTTCCAGTCCCTGCTCTAACCGGATTAGCGATGAGCCCTTCGAGGAGCCATTTCTGTACCCACCTCAGCCTCCTCATCTGTAGAATGGTGATAGTAATTATAACTGCCTTCTCCACTGCATGTGGTCATTCTGAGAGTGAGAGGTGGGCATGCATATAGAAATGTTACATGAGAGGAGAGGTTAACTCCTGGTTGAACAGACACTCTCAGGAGGATGGTCCCACTTCACTAAAATAATTCAGTGTGTTACCAAGAATTGCTTTACTCCTGTCCTGCAGAGGATGCAATGTCATGCTGGATCTTAAGTTTTGGTCCATGTGAAGCTGAGTCCCCCATTGCTCCACATTTCATAAACTTCATAGTTCAGCATTATTATGCAGCTCAATGCCATTGCTTCAATTTTCTCTGGCTGTTATTCCTAGTCATTTTCAGTGTTACTTTTTCTCTTTATCACTGGGAGGGATCTGGACCATTGGACATTCACTGCAGTAAGTAAATTAAAAGGGTTCACTGATTGTGCCGGAAGAAATCAGGAGCCTAATGGCACTTCCATTTCAGCAAGCCATTATTTTTTCCTCAAGAAATTTCAGGGAAAGAACTATGAGATGGTCACGTGCAAAAATCACTGATATTGGAAAATAAAACCAATAGAAATGGAAGTGATGGATCCTTTGGCTCATTTAAGGCCTCATCTTCCAAGTCAGGAGAATGGGTTTCTGAGCAGTATCACACAGCCATTCTGGGAGCTTCCCAGGTAGTGGGTCATTGATCTTGGCCTGGAAGCCCACACCTATCTGTGGTGTTGCAAATTACCATATTTAACATTAATCTGTGTTGAGGTTAGCCATCCTGTAGACTGCGGAACCACACAGCCCTGAGTTTAAAACCTTTTCTGAGCATCAGCTTTCTCATCTGCAAAGCAGGAATAATACGGTGTCGTAGTGACGTCTGGGTGGCTCAGTCAGTTAAGTGTCTGCCTGCCTTCAGTTCAGGTCATGATCCCAGGGTCCTTGGATTGAGCCCCCACATTAGGCTCCCTGCTCAGGGGGAGTCTGCTTCTCCCCTTCCGCTGCCCCTTTCCCTGCTGGTGCTCTCTCTCTCTCTCTTTTTCTCTCAAATAAATGAATAAAATCTTTTAAAAATATATAATGGTGTCATAGTATTATTTTAGATTTGAGTGAGAGAACATCTAAAATAATTAAAAAGCCATCTAAAATAGCATACCATGTGCACCTATCTTTTGTACTCTATCTTCTTTCCTTTTCCTTTCTTACTCTTTATTTGCTTTCTCCAAAGCAGACATTTGGCCCTGGCTATATGTGTTTTGTTTTTCTTGGATGTGACAAACGTTGTTTCAAGTTCAAATCCATTTAACAAATATATATCAAACACCTACTGTGAGCCAGGCCCTGTGCCAGCTGATGGGTCTTCTGTGGTGAACAAGATAGAGTCCCTTGAGAAATAAACAGTTTTGCTATTGAGAGATCTACAGTTTAATAAACAGTATGACGGGGATCCCTGGGTGGCGCAGCGGTTTGGCGCCTGCCTTTGGCCCAGGGCGCGATCCTGGAGACCCGGGATCGAGTCCCACGTCGGGCTCCCGGTGCATGGAGCCTGCTTCTCCCTCTGCCTGTGTCTCTGCCTCTCTCTCTCTCTGTGACTATCATAAGCAAAATAAATAAATAAATAAATAAATAAACAAACAGTATGACTGGAAAGATGTAGCACTATTTGCTTAGTCTTTTATGCATAACGTGTGTATCCAAAAAGATCAAGAATAATATGTTTGATTTTCTTTTGTAATTCTGGCATGGTGTTTAGTATGAGCACTGGTTTTCTTTTCTTTTTTAAGATTTTTATTTATTTATTCACGAGAGACAGAGAGAGAGAGAGACAGAGAGAGGCAGAGACACAGGCAGAGGAGAAGCAGGCTCCATGCAGGGAGCCCGATGTGGGACTTGATCCCGGGTCTCCAGGATCACACCTTGGGCTGAAGGTGGCATTAAACCGCTGAGCCACCTGGGCTGCCTAGAGCTTTCAATCATTGCTTTGCTATTTAACAACTCTATGATCTTGGGCAAAATTACTTATTTAAATCACTGCTCATCTATAAAACTGGGGCAACAATTGCTAACTCATTGCATCATTTTCAAGATTAAATGAGATAGAACACATTAGAGAATTAGGCTCAATGCCTAGCACATAGTAGGTACAAAAATGATAGATGTTACAATTGTGCTTACTTTAGGCTTGCCTAGAAAATTTTAACAGACTGTTATATACGTGTACATGTAGATATACTCAACTATATTCATTTGCTTTCTTCACAAATATTTATTAAACATCTACTATACAAGAAGCATGCATAGCATAGTGACCTAAAGCAGATACTTTTCCAGCTGTTTCTGTCCTCATGGAGCTGACAGTTTTGCAGGGAAGATGGGCATTAGCCAAATTACCATGCCCAGAAAT